ATCAGCCATTGAAAACCCTGCGGAACACAGTTCTACTCTGATACACATGGGATCACCATGAGTTGGAACTGACTCCATGACAGCTGGTTTTAGTTAGGGTGCAAGGAATCCACACAACTTGATTTAAGATCATTGGTAGAGTTGTATGACCAAGCCCTGTAAGATCTTGGAGAGGATATGAACCAATTGGTTTAAGTATAAACAAGTCAGGTGAACCTGTGCTGGCAATGCTATGCCACAAGGAGAGAGACAGAAGAAAGGGGTTTAAAAAGGTGTGGAAAAGGAACTTCTTGTTTCTAAGAATGTTCATATGCACATCAGCTAGAGAAAACATTAAGTGTATATGTGAATATGGTAGAGATTGAGTACTTTAGCAAAGAAACTTCAGAGAAAGGAAGAAATAGTGAGAGGAGGGACTTTTATCAGGGAAGGTTATCCAGTATTGAATCTGCAGCAGTTCTTAAAAGAATGTAGTACAGTATTTGGCTTGTAAAAGGAACGGAGGAAAGGGCAATCTGGGTGGCAGGAATGAGGTGTTCATCTCATGTGCGTACATATTTAAGTCATGAGCGTGATTTACTGTTTGTGTAAGTATTGACAGTTCAACGGATGAGCTCAAGAAGATTTTCTAGAGAGTCAGAGAAGTAAGGTGAGCCAATTGGGAACTTTGAAGGTCAGTCTGAGGAATTTGGCTTTAATCTAGAACTCCCTAAGGTGCTGTTAATAGTTTCATGAGCATAGAGTGACCTGGTATGGTTCAGAATATGGATCTGGTTGGACTACAAGCAAGATGATGATTGTTGGGGTAAGGATAAAATAGGGGTTAAGAGCTTGGGTTTTGGCACAAGATAGCAAGATAGGCCTGTATATAAAAGGGGGATCATAAAACTTATCTTGTTAGGGCTTTTTGGAAGATTGGATTTAAACTATATGCATATATAATCACCTAGCACAGCTCTTGGCACACTATAAATGTTCAAGTTAAAAATAAAAATAATGCAGTCTTATAGGTATGAAGGAATAAGAGTTTGGATTGGATTAATCTCCAGCCTGTGGATATTTTTACCATTCTGATAAAAATTTGACTCTGTCATTGGTTCTACAATTGTGTTACTAGTGATAAGCAATTCTTATACATCTCTTTAACAATAATAAAAAACATACGTGAAATTAATTAGCGGCATCTTCCCATTCTGTACTGTTTTTTGGTATGCGCATCACAACAAACCATTAATGAACTGCCAGTCTTATTAGACTAGGACTGCCTAATGAATGAATGCTGAATTGTCCCTAGAATTCTAAAAGAGGCCTCTGTGGGTTGAAACTGTGGTGTAATGGTAGGACCGTAAAGAAATCTGTATCAGTACTCTCTGATGGCTCTATCCATTGATAATCCAAAGCTACTTAGGGCTGTCCAGCTTGCTTTTGCTCTAACCCAGGAAGATGGACAATCTGCAATCTAGATCGTAATTTTAGTGTGTGACACTGCTAGAGGGCTAGGTGCTTAACCCCTTTGAAGCTTTTGCTCTATTCTGTTAGATTTGCATTTCTCTTAGGAAAATCCTCAATTACATAATAGTTCAAATATAAGCAAACTACTGTCCTGAGCATCGACGGCATGTGATATTAAAAAAAAAAAAACCCATTGCCGTCAAGTCGATTCCAACTCATAGCAACGCTGTAGGACAGAGTAGAACTGCCCCAAAGGGTTTCCATGGAGCAGCTGGTGGATTCGAACTGCCGACGTTTTTGGTTAGCAGCCAAGCTGTTAACCACTTTGCCACCAGGACTCCATGTGATATAGAGGTGAATGATATAAATGTGAAACACAATAACATAGTGATTTAAGAATAAGTCTCAATTTTTCTTCCCATTGGACTACTGTTTGGTGAATCATCTAGTTGTGTACAATTCCACATTCTAATAATTTATATGTAACTTATTTTGTTGTATATCCATTAAGAGCCTTAAAAAAGTTACCTTCTTACTTTTACTACAGTAAAATTAAATAAATACTGCCTATTTTTGAAATCCTGTTCCCTGCCCTCAAGAAGCTTAGTGTTTAATAGCTTCAAATGAATTTTCATCTGTCAGGTGCTTACAAAGGGCCTAACTATTAGTACTAGTAGTGGACTAGAAATGGGATAGTGTATAATTAAATGAATGGCCAGGGCAGTACTCTGGGAACTGGGCTTTAAGCGGTGTTCTCCTTGGGCATCTGAGTGCTTGTTTTAATTTGTTAACTAATTTTGTGATATGGAGAGTTGTGGCGGGGAGTGGGGGAGCTTCAGTAGCCTAATTCAAACTAATGGATTAGAAATTACTACCACAAAGCAGTAAGGATTTTACCTAGCAGTCAGCATCTGTGCTGCTCTCCATTCTACCAAGAATTCTTCCTACAATGAGTGGTGCAAAGAGTTGCTTGAACTTCCTTTATTTTCTTCTGTGCTGCTGCTGGGTTACAAATTCTGTAAGTTTACCTCTGGTTCCTACAGTACTTTTTGTTTGTAGTAATAAACACTAAAAGTACTTTTGTATTACTGCAGAGATACTTGCCTGTTCTAAAGATTGCTGCCTTGTTTACAGTACTGAAGGATTTGGTGAACAATTTTATGTCTATCCTGTATTTTACATACTTTTTTAATGTTTCACTAACATTTACCTAATCTTTAGAGAGTGTTAATAATCATACCTAGCATTTATTGAGCATTTATTAATGTATCCTTTGCATGTAGTGACTTATTTAATCTTCCTAACTCTATAAGTGGTAGTATTCTCTTTTTATAAATGAGGAAATTAAGGCCAGAAGATTTAAGCAATTTGTTTACAGTCACAGAGCTAGTATGTAAGTAACAGAGCCAGGATTTGAACCCAGGTAGTCTGGCATCATAGCACAGATTTTTAATCATTATTCTGTGCTTCATTATGTCATATTTCAAATTTTATCTCCCCATACAAAGCTCTAGGCTTTGATTAGCATTATTTTATTACCAGTCTAGCCAGTTATACCTCTATTTAATTAGGATTTGAAGTTTATATTTCTCCAACTTGTCCGTAGTATGTCTAAGAGACTACCTTAAATGCCTTTCTAAAATCAACATATGCTGTCTAAAACACCATTTCCAGAGTATTCTGTAGGATAATAAAAAGAGATACTCCCCCTAAAAAGTTCTGTTGTAAAAAAAAAGTTTGGATAACTCTGGTGAAATAAGTGTCTTTACAGTAGTTCCCTGGCCAAGGCACTTAATGTGCTAATGTGAATGGTGACTGCTTAAGGGGAAATAATATATAATGTATTGGCATTTTCAAAACTTATTTGACCACAGAACTCTTTCAAGGGATATTTAGGGTGTAGTGGTCTGTAAAACACACTTTAGGAAAAGTTAGTCATCTGATTCATTGGGTGGACAACTTTATATCTGTCTTTCATTTTCTATGCTTATTTATTATCATGTAGCAATTTTAGTAGAAAAAGAATAAGATTAAATTACTCTAGTTATCTTATGCCAGTTTCTAATAATCACTGATATCTAAACCATTAATTTGTTAATATATTCAGAAATTTTATTCCCTGTTAGGCTGAATGTTCTGTAATTTTTACTTATCTATGTTTGGCATATTTTAAAATTGTTTGTTGCTCTCTGGTTTTCTGACACATCCTAATTGTCCAAGCTTTATCAAATAATGTAGTTGGTGGTTCTGAGTTCAACATCTTCCAACTTTTTTCTGTGTCTTCGAGTGTAATTCCTTTGGATTTGAGGATTAAACTAATTTAGAATGACTCTTATATATTCGTATATATTTTATGCTTGAATTCCCTTTTAATCATGTTTGTTTTACCCTTTCCAGTTGGAAGATCAACCTCTTTGACAAAGGAGATTGACAGTGAAAAGGGAGCAAAAGATTCTGCTTTCTTTTTGTGTTATCTGTTTCTCTAAAGAGAGTGGGTCAAGTCCCTCCTTGTTCTATCTGCTTCCAACATAACGAAGACATCTTTTGGTTGACCTCTGCTCTTTTTTGGCTTTAGCCTTCCTGACTCTTTTAGGGTTCTGGACCCCTTTTTTTGGTCACTTTTCTCTCCCTCTGTATCTATGTTTATATGTCCCTTTAAAATCATATGTTGTGAACTTGAAGGAGAGAGAAATGATGAAAAACCAGAATGATCTCAGGAGACCTCATAGAGTTACTACAGATAGGATTTAGATACGAGGAAAGAACGTTCTAGGCAAGGGAGCCAGGGAAAGCAGATTTGGAGTAGCATATAGAGTAGTGTGATTGGAGCAGAAGTTACTCTATAGAAACACTAGACAGAGTTGGCTCTCATCATAGTTTACGAATGACATTTCAGAATAGTAAACTGGTATTGGTATTGCAGAGATAATGAAAAAATTCAAATACCTAATTGTATCATATACTTTGATAAATTTTTAACACCTAAGTAAGTTAAGTGCTCTGTTGACTCTTTAAGAATCAAGTACATCTCTATTGCTTATGTCAATTCTGAGAATATGGAAACCAGGCTATGAATAATGACAAATTTATTCTGACCCTTAAAAAAAAATATCACTATTTTTTCTAGTAAATGGTCATTTAGTCTTTAGACATGTACTTGGTCTTTTAAATGCATGTCATACCAAAATTGACAGAACTAATATAAAGTTACTCTGTATTGTGAATCTGTTAATGTAGCCTAAGTAATATGTGTATTTCTCTTAGATTGAAATATTTATCTGATACTTTTTATATTTCTTATTTTCAGGTTGGCTCAAAAAAAGAAGTTGCTGAGTGTAAGGAGAAATTTGCCACCTCTAAAGACCCCACAGTCAGTCAAACTTTCATGTTGGATAGGGTGTTCAATCCTGAAGGCAAGGCTTTGCCACCAATGAGAGGATTCAAATACACCAGCTGGTCCCCCATGGGTTGTGATGCTAATGGCAGGTGCCTGTTGGCAGCACTGACTATGGACAACCGCCTGACCATCCAGGCTAACCTCAGCAGACTACAGTGGGTACAGCTAGTCGATCTTACTGAAATCTATGGAGAACGACTTTATGAGACCAGTTACAGGCGCTCTAAAAATGAAGCCCCAGAAGGAAATCTTGGGGACTTTGCAGAGTTTCAGAGGAGACATAGCATGCAGACACCAGTCAGAATGGAGTGGTCGGGCATCTGTACCACACAGCAGGTCAAGCATAACAACGAATGCCGTGATGTTGGTAGCGTGCTCCTGGCAGTTCTCTTTGAAAATGGTAACATTGCTGTATGGCAATTCCAGCTACCATTTGTAGGAAAGGAATCCATCTCTTCATGCAACACAATTGAGTCAGGAATCAACTCTCCTAGTGTTTTGTTTTGGTGGGAATATGAGCACAATAATCGGAAAATGAACGGCCTTATTGTGGGGAGTGCTTTTGGACCTGTAAAAATCCTTCCAGTCAATCTCAAAGCAGTTAAAGGTTACTTCACTTTAAGGCAGCCTGTTGTCTTGTGGAAAGAAATGGACCAGTTGCCTGTGCACAGCATTAAATGTGTACCACTTTACCATCCTTACCAGAAGTGTAGTTGCAGCTTAGTGGTGGCTGCAAGAGGATCTTACGTGTTTTGGTGTCTTCTTCTGATCTCCAAAGCAGGTCTGAACGTTCACAATTCCCATGTCACAGGCCTACACTCACTGCCAATTGTCTCCATGACTGCGGACAAACAGAATGGAACTGTATATACTTGTTCCAGTGATGGGAAGGTGAGGCAATTGATTCCCATTTTCACAGATGTTGCATTAAAGTTTGAACACCAGTTGATTAAGCTCTCAGATGTGTTTGGCTCAGTGAGGACTCACGGGATAGCAGTGAGTCCCTGCGGTGCGTATCTGGCTGTTATTACAACCGAGGGCATGGTCAATGGCCTCCATCCTGTTAACAAAAACTACCAGGTCCAGTTTGTTACTCTCAAAACCTTTGAAGAGGCAGCTGCTCAGCTCCTGGAATCTTCAGTTCAAAATCTCTTTAAGCAGGTAGATTTAATAGACCTAGTACGCTGGAAGATTTTAAAAGATAAACATATCCCTCAATTTTTACATGAAGCTTTAGAAAAAAAGATTGAAAGCAGTGGGGCCACCTACTTTTGGCGATTTAAACTTTTCCTCCTGAGGATCTTGTATCAGTCAATGCAGAAAATTCCTTCAGAAGCCTTGTGGAAACCCTCCAATGAGGACTCAAAAATATTACTACTTGACTCACCTGGGATGGGCAATGCTGAGGATGAACAGCAAGAAGAAGGCACTTCTAAACAGGTGAATAAACAGAGCCTTCAGGAGAGGAGCAAAGAAGGTGATACAGAGGAGCCTACTGATGACTCACTCACCCAGTCTGGCGATGTTGGAGGCCATGAGCCAATGGAAGAAAAACTCCTTGAAATCCAAGGGAAGATTGAAGCTGTGGAAATGCACTTGACTAGGGAACACATGAAGCGAGTCTTAGGAGAAGTTTACCTGCACACCTGGATCACAGAGAACACGAGCATCCCTACAAGAGGACTCTGTAACTTCTTAATGTCTGATGAAGAATACGATGACAGAACAGCACGGGTAGGTGTTTATTAACAAAAACACAAACTGGGAAAGTCTGCTTTCTTCATGAAAAAAATGACCTAAATTGAATTCCTAAAGCTCAATTTTTGCTTTGACATTTTTTAGGTAGTCGATTGGCATGAGATACAGGAGAGTAAATAGGAGACATGGATTAATGCAGAGGACACATTCATATCACACAAAGAATGTTTTAATTCTTCCCCACACTGTGGCCTTGATTGATAGGCAGGGTTTTGCAGGGTGAGATTTCCAGGCTGTAGATGAGCTTGAAGCAGCTGCATTTAGCAAGGTAGTACATGATGGGGTAGTGATGGCAGTGGAAGTGTGATACCTTGTGCTCCTTTCCCTTCCTGTTTGCAAAAGTTTCTTTTTTGAGTTTTTTCCATTTGAAAGGTCTTGAGTTGTTGTTAGGCGCTGTCAAGTTGGTTCTGACTCACAGTGACTCTGTGCACCACAGAATGAAACACTGGCCAGTCCTGCACCATCCTCACAATTGTTATGCCTGAGCGCATTGTTGCAGCCAGTGTGTCATTCCATCTCGTTGAGGGTCCTGCTCTCTTTCGCTGACCCACTGTTTTACCAAGCATGATGTCTTTCTCCAGGGATTGGTCTTTCCTGATAACATGTCCAAAGTATGTGAGGCAAAGTCTTGCCATCCTTGCTTCTGAGCAACATTCTAGCTGTACTTATTCCAGGACAGATTTTTTTTCGTCCTGGCAGTCCATGGTATATTCAGTATTCTTCACCAACACCATAATTCAAAGGCGTCAATTCTTCTTCAGTCTTCTTATTTATTATCCAGCTTTTGCGTGCATGTGAGGCAACTGAAAATACCCTGCCTTGGGTCAGGTGCACCTTAGTCCTCAGAGTGACATCTTTGCTTTTTAACACTTCCAAGATGTCCTTTGCAGCAGATTTGCCCAATGCAATATGTTGTTTGATTTCTTGACTGCTGCTTCCATGGGCATTGTAGCAAGGTAGTGCATGATGGGGCAGTCATGGTAGTGGAAGTGTAGTACCCTTTGTTCCTTTCCCTTTCTGTTTGCAAAAGTTTCTATTTCGGGTTTTGTTTTCCATTTGAAAGGATTTGGGTAGGTCTTCTGATGTAGTCAGGAAGGATATATAAACAACTTATTACTCATATCTTGTTTTTATAAAAAGTAGATACAATTTTTATTTTGGTATTAGAATAATCTTATAGTGTTATCCAAAAGGTATTCCACAGAACTCAGAAAGAACAGTAGGGTTGCCTATATGAGGAATTAGTGCATACTCTGTACTTCTCTTAAAGGTCCTGAGTGTCTGTTATCATGCTACGGGTTTTGAGATTTCCTACAGAAAAGAAACTGTTTAACTTTGTTCAGCCAGTATTATCTAAACTTATGGACGATGAAACCTTTTTTCAGCTAACAACTGCTAAATCTTGAAGAAATTGTATTCTAAGGAAAGTACTATGTGCTAAAATATTCAAAGTATTAATTGAAGACAGTAAACTTAGTTATCTTTATCCCTAATGTTAAATCATTCATGAAGCATTTGTTGCATTTTCTTGTTGGAGTGTGCGTGTACGTGTGTATACACTTGTAAAATTGTTGTTCATGTGATCTAGTCACAATAATCTTAGGAGTAGTTAAGATGTACTGTTCATTTAAATGCCTCCTTTTCCTTAAAAGTCAACTTTTAAACATCATTTCATTGTGTTCTAAATTGTCTGCAAGAGTCTCCTGGTTATCACTGTTTTATACAACCTAGCCAGGGGTATCATAAGGGTTAATGAGGTGTTAGAAAAATATTTTAGGAAATACGTAGCGGAAGGTAGTTGGTAACAGTTTAGTATAATTGTCAGGATGCCTCATGAGGTTCGGGGAAGGTACACTTAGCATGAGGTTCCAACAGATCAAGTTTTAAGAAGAGAAGATTATACCCTTGCCCATCTATAACTGCTAAGTTTTTTGTTTTTAGTAACAACTGAGTTTTCCTTGAAGACAGTGTGTGATATGGTTTAAAAATCCAACTATATACATAAAAACTTTTAACCTAGGAAGCTGATTTAGTGATAAATTATTTCTGAGATCCTCAGCTTGGCATGTTACATAGTTAGACCAGCATTCCTAACCTTTTTTCTTTATTGCCTTCCCCTTCTCCAGGAAAGCCTTTTTGGACGTTTTTCCCTAATCGTCCCACTGATAAAATGTTAATACCACAGATAATACTGTGTACCTGTTTATGTGTATCTGTACTTTATACAGAAAAAGAGTAAGATTTTTTTCACTCCCCAAGAGCCATTTTTTTGTCCCCTTGGAAGTGGTATCACCCCCGTTGAGAATGCATGAGTTAAACTAACAAAGTTGGGATTGCATGATCAAGAAAGTTGTTTACAGCAACTAGAAGCAATCCTCCTTTATGTAGAATTTGGGTGGGTCAGTCCTGGAGGAATTTTGGGCAGGTTTTGTCATTATACCACTATATGGATTTATTGTCTGCGTAGAAAAGAGGGGTCGGTGGGGGGGGTGTCTCTACTGTAAGGGACTATAAAGAGGATTAGGATTCTTAAATTAGGCTAAAAGTTAATGAGATTTAAATTTGTAAATTATATGCAGGGTTCACCAACTTTTGAAATATTAAGACACCATTTGCAACTTAAGTGAATTAATTTTAGTGAATGGCTGATGTAGAGGATTCCTCTACAAGGAGTTAAACATAAATGGATTCAAAATTTTTAAGGATATTATCTGTTACTAAGAGAATATAGGAGGCGGAGCAAGATGGCGAAGTGAGAGGATGTTCCCATTTACTCCCCCAGCAATTAACTCACTGAACAATGAATAAAAACAGACTGAGATCTCAGAACTCCAGACAGCAGCTGAGTTATTGGAGAGTCGGGGTGAGTCCGGAAGCAGGGGAGAGGAGGAACAGGGTCGACACAGAAGCAGGGAAATCCTACCTGCTAACATCGGGCGCTCTCACTCATCACAGCCATGTTGAGATAGGGCTGGGTAACACCTCAACCAGGGAACACAGAAAAGGAGTTAATCTGAGGAAGCTCTACTTAATTTTTCTCTCAGGAGAAGATGCCAAGCCCACTGCTGTTGAGTCATTCTGACTCATAGTGAATCTGTGGGGCTGAGGAGAGCTGCCCTGTGGGGTTCCCGGGGCTGTGAGTCTCTGCAGAGGTGGTCTGCCACATCTTTCTCCAGCGGAGTGGCTGGTGGGAGCAGGCCCCGACCTCTTGGGTGGCAGCCGGGCACTTGGCAACTGTGCCATCAGGGCATCCAATCAGAAAAATTTCCCCCAGTAAACAGAATACGAAAGTCAAAGCAAAAAAAAAAAAAGTTAACAAAATGACCCAAGTTCAACAAAAGATAGTAAAACACACAAAATGACAAGAGAAGAAGGAACTATCAAAAGCAAAACACAGAAAAGGAAATCTCTCCTGTGGAGGCCAGAATAATACAAAGAATTAATAATTTTTGGACTGTGGTGCTAAATATGTTTAAAGAAAGCAAAAAGCACACAGAAAACAAACTAGCAGCAATCAGGAAACAGAGGAACAAAATGAGAGATTAACAAAGGAAAAAAAGACTACTGAAACTGAATAATAAAACATCTGAAGTAGGAAAAGCAAGAGAAACACTCAACAATAGAGTCAAAGAGGCAGAGGATAGAATAAGTAAACTAGAAGATGAAATAACTGAACTTACTAAGTCTCGAGAAACAAGACAAAAGAACAAAAAAAAAAAAAAGGCAGACAAGCCCAAAAGGAAATGTGGGATTAAACTAGGAAATGTAACAATTATTGGTGTCCCAAAGCACCATGATAACAATAAAGGCACAGAAACAATTTTTTAAGAACTAATCAAAATTTCCCAAACCTGAACAGAGAGCCAAGCCACAAATGTAGGAAGCTACCAATCAGAAGAGACACAAAAAGATCAACTCTGTGCTATATCCTAGTAAAATTCTTGAAAACCAAAGACAAGAAGAAAAATTTAAAAGCAGCAAGAAAGAAACACAATGTAACATACCAAGGGACTTTAATAAGAATCAGTGTAGATTTATCCCCAGTAACTCTAAAGGCCAGAAGACAGTGGAGTGACATATATAAAATACTGAACTAAAACAATTGCAACTAAGAATTCTTTAACCCAGCAAAGTTGTCGTTCAGAAATGAGGGGGAAATTAAGACATTCCCAAACAGAAGCTCTGGGAATTTGCCACTGCCAGACCAGCTATTAAAGCATTACTCAAGGGAGTACTCCAGATGGAAAAGCAAGAGCATTTAGAAATAAGTACAAAGTAAATTTATCAAATATAGGTTGTATACTGATGTCAGTAGAGATGCACCAACAGGAATGGGAGAGGGAGGAGCATAACAAGAGTAGATTTATTATGTTAAGTTTATATGTTAACTGTTGTTCATATGTTAAATGTTATAAGTTGTGTAATGTAACGTGTTAACCACTAAGAAATCACCAAGAAGAAACGTTCTGAAGAAAAGATAACAAAAAGGCTCATCACAAGAAAGCACCCAAATACAAACAAAAACAGAAAAATCATAATAAAAAAACGAAGATACAAAACACTCAAAAAACAAATAGTAAAATGAGTGAGGTAGAAAATTGATTTTCAGTAATAACCTTAAATATAGATGGTCTAAATGCCCCATGCAAAAGTCAGAGAGTGGCAGAATGGATAAAAAAAAAAATCCATTCTTTTGCTGTCTACAAGAAGCACACCTTAGACATAAAGGACACAGATGGACTGACAATGAAAGGATTGAGAAAAATATTCCATGCAACCAGTAAATGAGCAGGAGTTGCCATACTGATATCTGATAAACTATATCAAAATCTAGCACAAGAGATAAAGAAGGACGTTACATAATAAAGGAGTCAATTTGACAAGACATAGCAATTATAAATATATATGCACCTAACAGCAATGTACCAAAATACATGAGATAAATACTATTATGAACAGAGATATAGACAACTCCA